GAAACGACCCCGAAACCGTCGGCGTGTCGCGGGCCGTCGACGGGTCCCAGGCTCGCGCGCCTCGCCTCGCAGGTCTTGTGGTAGATGATGTCGACCTCCGCAGCAGCCAGAGATCGTTGGACCCGCCGTCATCGATGCGAACTCGCCCGCCAGCGTCTCGCTGCGCGCCTTGAGCGCCAGCCCGCGGTCGAAATACGTGCGTCGGGACGATGTTCGACGTCGCGCCCCGTCCGTAGTACCTTCGTGGACCCTCCGAAGCGCTCGCAGCAGCCGCCGTAGTCGCGCGCGGCGCGGAAGGCGGTCCCGTCGACCGACCTCCACTGGTTTGCACTGCGGAGCGCACGGGCGGGTTTCGCGACGCGTTCGACTTCCCGCACGTCGATGCGCTGCAGAGGCACTCTCAGTAGGGTCCTCTAGGCGCCTGCCAATTTGGCACCATGCGTTCGCTCGAGGTCGCGCGCACGGGCCATCGCAAAACGCTCCACTCGGCACTGTGCCCCCAGCTGTCGATGCTGTCGATGCCGCACATGTTGAAGAGGCTGCGATGGCTCCGCCATTGCCCGACCTCGTCATGGGCATCGGCTGCAACAAGTGGGGCACGGACCCCGCGAAGTTCGACGCCGGCGCGCTCGAGGCCACCTACGTCGCGGCGCTCGACGCCGGCGTCACGCTCTTCAACACGGCGCAGGCCTACCCGACGAGCGAGGCCTGCCTCGGCGGGCTCCGGGCGCGGACGCGGCGGCCGGCCTTCGTCGTCTCCAAGTTCAACTCGCTCGCGGCCGCGCCGCAGGCGCTCGTCGCGTCGCTGCGCGACTCGCTCGACGCGCTCGGCGCGGCCAAGGTCGACGGTTTCCTCGTGCACTTCCCCAGGGGCGACCTCGCGGCGCTCGCGGACGGCCTCGCCGCGGCCGTCGGCGCGGGCCTCGTCGACCACGTCGGCTGCTCGAACTTTGGCGAGCGCGCGCTGCGGCGGCTCCACGGCCTCCTCGCGGAGCGCGGCGTGCCGCTGCGCTTCAACGAGATCGAGTTCTCGCTGCTCCGCCGGAAGCCCGAG